CCCCCCCCCCCCCCCATATAGACACAGGAGCTGGGACTGACCACGAGGGGACAAGACGAGGCAGAGCACAGGGAGTGTTTGGTAGCAAAATTTATTAAAACCTCTAAACAAAACAGCACAAGACCTCACCAGCCCCTCCCCTCCCACCCCTGGGTCTGATGCTCTGCACGCAGCTGGCAGGCACAGGCACAGCTCAGCCCCGAACGAAGGAGCTGGACGCCTGCTGCCAGAGCCACTACCCACAGCTGGTGTCAGGGCGCCCTTCCCAAGCTGCAAACACAAGGTCGGGGGAGCAGCAATTGCATGCCTAGTCCCTGTCTCCAGGGAAGAGTCCAGGCCCAGGGGCCAGTACTGTCCGGAGGCAGCCCCTGCTCAGAGCTGGTCCTGCCCTGCCAAGCCTAGGGGGCTTTGGCTTTCTTTCTATGGTGCAGGGTGTTCCTTGAGTCCTCTTGCACGGCCATCCTGTACGGCTGGGGAGAAGGATCCATGCTGCAGCTCTGGGTGTGCAGGTCTGTGCAGCTGCGTTGGGCTGGCACGTCCCAGGCAGAGCCCCCAGCAAGGTCCTTGTGGTGGAAGTCCAGCTGCCTGGCCTCGGTCTCCAGGGTCTGAGCTGGGCAGGATCCTGGCCGTGGTCCGGAATCGAATGCCCTTTGATGCACCAGTGATGTGTGCTGCCCGCGCTCTCCCCAGCAGATGCTGCAGCCTCCAAGCAGCTGTCACTCAGGAGCCCAAAGCCAGAGGGCTCGTTGCCTGACCACGGGGCCCCTCTCTGCCTGGACTAGTCAGCCCCTGGGGTGGGCTTGGGGACAGGAAGTCGGGTGAAGAGGAGGCCAGGACTCCTCCAAAGCAAGCAGCTGAGCAAGCAGAACCCCTCCCACCCTGCCAGGGCACCGTAGTGCCACAGATCCAGGTCCCCTCCCTGGCCCCAGGCAGCACAGGCAGATGAAGCAGACAAGCCCCTTGCCCAGCACAGCAGCCTCAGGGGCTGCTCCCCACTGCCCTCAGCAGCGCCCTGCTCAAGCTGGTTTAGCCCGAGCCCAGAGAGGCAAGAAGAGCTGCTTTCAGGCCTGCTGCCGCCTCTCCCACAGGCCCCTGTGCTTGAGAGCAGAGAAGGGGAAGGACCGGGAGGGCAGCTCAGGCCCCAGGGGTCCAGACATACTGCTTCCGTAGTGCTGGGGTGTGCCAGGGGCTGGGCCAGGGACTGCTACGTGACCGCTGCGGAGGGCAGCCAGGGGCTGAAGCCCCTCTCAATCTCTGTGCCTGCAGTGTGCTCCAGCTTAGAGATGAACCAGCTGCAGGGAAGCCCCTACCCCATGAGGGGGTCTGGGGTGCAGGACCCACATGCTGGGAAACCTTCAGGGTGGCATTGGTGCCAGGCCTCCCACACAAGGCAACAAGGCCCCCTGAGCAGCAGCCACATTGCACACTGCTGGACAGTCTGTTACCTGTTCCTTGCTGGACATAGGGGTCTTCCCCAGGGAAACAGAGCATCCCACTTGGCCTGACCCCGGTCTTCCCCAGGGAAACAGAGCATCCCACTTGGCCTGACCCCACCCTCGGGGTCCATGGGGCAGCAGCTAGTGATCCCACCACGATGCCCAGGACACTGCAGCCTAACGTCAGTCGGAGCCGACTGCCTGAGTGCCCGAAGGAGTGTAAGAGGGATCTGGGACAGGGAGCAGGAGTGTGTCTGGCATGGGGAGAGGCACAGCAGAGGGGCAGGAACAGCTGCAGGGCGATGGTGCCTCAGTGATGATGCTGCCCCGCAGACCGGGGGAAGAGGGCCCTCACGCCCTGGTGCTCCAGGGCTCACGGGGGCAAGGGCATCTCCCAAGGGAGAGAGAAGCCCCACGCTCATCAGCTCCAGGCAGACTCTGCTGCCAGGAAGAAGGGCAGCCTATGGGCTTGCCCAGGCCCAACCCCGTCCTGCCCCAGGGTGCAACTGGGACCCAAAGGAAAGCGCAGCGCTGCGAGGAAGCAGAAGCAGCAAGGGGGTGAGATGGCGATGATGGCAGCAGGGGAGAGTCTGACCCCACAGACCAGGGTCTGCTTTAGCATGGGCAGCCCCAGCCTGTCCACAGGGTCCTGCTCTTTGGGAGGGGCTAGGACAACAGGTCACTCTTGCCCCTGCGCCCCACACACAAGGTAAGCACTGGGGGGGACAGCCCCTGCTGTTAACTCGCTGCCCTCAAGGAAACCATCAGGAGCCAGAGGCTGCGAGACTGACCCCAGAGCTCACCCCAAAGTCTTCTGGGACACAGCGCCTACTTGCTTGGCTTCACCTGAGCCTCAGTGCTCCAGCCTCTGTACGAACCATCGGCAGCAACGACCTTCCCAGCGCGCCTGCCCCACGGCAGCACGGCCATCCCAGGGGGTGAAGACGTGGCATTTATTGTTCACGGGTGGGCGGGTGGCAGGCGACGTGTTGCAAAGCCTGCCTCAAACGCCACGGTCCCACGGGCCACGCGCTGCGGTACTCACTCGGCCTCTCCTGCCCGCACGCGCTCAACCCTCCTGGGCCCACTTCAGGAAGGTGGGAATGTCCCGCACGGGCACGTTCCGGGTCAGCGCCTTGACCCGCAGGTTCCGGTCATCCGTCAGCAGCACCACCTCTCTCAGCAGGCGGATTGGGTCATCTGGAATGGAGATGGGAGGTTTGCGGGGTCAGGGCTGAGGTGCCAGTGCCTGCGGCAGAGTGGGGAGAGGGAGCCAGGCTTGCTGGCACAGCTGCAAGCCAAAGCGCTGTCATCTGCCCTCTGCTCCACAGCACTGGGGCCCCCTCCTGTGCAGCCTCCCACGCCCCTGTGCTGGCGATCTCCCCACTGTGGGCATGTGCTGGACCCAGGGATTGTGCTGCTGGAGCCTTGAAAGGGCTCTGGGCTTTCCTGAGTACATGTACACAACATGGGCTCATTCCTGCCCAGGGCAGGGGTCGGACTCGACGATCTAATAGGTCCCTTCCGACCCTAACATCTGTGAAACACGGGCACCCCCTCTCGCCTGGCCAAGGCTGCCTCTCCAGGCTCTTGCTCATGAGACGCCCCCAGGGTCAGCTCCACTCGAGCCTCATGGCTTCCGCATGAAGCTCCTTCCAGGCAGACTGGGAGAAGCCCTCAGTCAGGCCAGGCTGGGGAGGGGCCCTTGCACACCAGACCTGTCCAACTATGTGTCCCCTGCCCTCCCCTGGCCCAGAAGCACCTTTGTGAGGGGCCCTGGTCAACAGCCAAGAGGGGAGACATGTAGAGCAGGCGCAGGAGGTGTCTCGGGGGCCAGGACGCAGTTTTGACTTGAGCTCTCCCAGGACATGGCTGCTTTGCTCCCTGCGCTCTCACGGTGAGATCCAAACCCTGCCCTGAATTTAAGTGGTTTTGGACAGGCCACGACCGCTGGCTTGGCGGACTCAGCTCAGACAGACAGAACGAGCTGCACCCCAAGGAACAGCCCGCATGCCCCTGCCCCTGGAGGAGCCACCCTGCACCCTGGGGCGGGAGCAAGGGCTCCATGTGCAGAGTGGGGGAAGCATATGGGGCATGTGTAAGCAGCTGGGCCCTGTGACCAGAGCTGTTCCTATGAGCACAGGAAACACAGCGCCTCCGTGCCAGGACTTGGATGGAAAAAACAGAGGCCATGGGAGCCTAACATGGGCCAGGGATCTGCTGCGCTGGTGGGGGGGAGGGGAAGGGAGGGGATGACTGTGGGGAGCGTGGCCGGGATCTGCTGAGCTGGGGGGGAAGTAGGGAGAGCGCGGCCGGGATCTGCTGAGCTGGAAAGGCGGGCTGTGGGGAGCGCGGCTGGGATCTGCTGGGCTGGGAGGGACGGGCCACGGGCCAGGCCCTGCTGGGAGCCGGCTCGGAGGTTCTGTGTGGACACTCTCCGACACGCGTAATGATAAACATCCTCTGCTGAGCTCCGTGATGCGGCAGCTTGTTACAAACCAGAGGCCGTCAGCTTGTCAGGCCCATCCGCCATAATCCGCGACTCCAGAGCTCGGCCCCGTCCGCACGTAAACACTGGTGACGGCCGTTCTGTGTCTCTGACAAGTTAAGCTACTAAGAATTTGTGCTAACAAACGGGGCTTGATGCAATCCCAGCCCAGCAGCCCCTGGAAACTGCTCACGGAGGCTCTGGCCACTGCAAGCCTCTTGCGAGGGGGGCACTGCCTGCCCCAGTGAGTAGGGGCAGACAGCCCTGCAGAGACAGCCCTGCCCTCCTTCCCATCACCGCCATTGTGACTAGACGCTCAGTCAAGCACTGACTCTACTTGAGCTGTGGTGCACTTGGTGCTGTACTGCCAGAACAAGGCGCTCTGTCCAGCTTCTGGTGCAAGCAGATAGCTAGAAATGACAGCTGGGCACAGGGCAGACACGGCTAAAGAAAGGCCCAGGCCAGGCAGATGACTAGCAATGGTCTCCCTGCATCAGCCGCCGGCCTGTTACCAAGCATTCGGCAGGCACTGCAGCAGACGAGTACTCTAAGGAGGGGGCTGAGGTGCTTTGTGGGTGTATGCCCGGGGGTAAGGTGCAGCACAGGGGAAGCAGGGAGGGGCATGGCTGAAGATCGACCAGGCAGGTGACAGACCATGAAGGGCCCTGAAAGCAAAGACCAGCATGACAGAGGAGGAGCTCGAACCCAGTACCTTTGTTAGCTGGCATGAAGTCCTTGGCCTTGTCATTGCAGTAATGGAGGCAGCAGGACAGGATCAGGTCATCGTTGTTGCCCTAGGAGGAAGGACGATATTCCCACATCAGGATGCAGAGCTGCAGCACCCCCTTCCATGCTCACCCCACGCCCCGGGCTACCAGAGCCACCCCCTCGCACTCAGTGAGGACCAAGGCCACGTCACTGGGGAGCCCTTCCCGCTCAGCCCGAGCACAGCCATGCTGGGGGGCTCTGGCTCCGTCCCAGATGCATGCTCCGGGGCTGGTCCAGGGCCTCTTACCTGCTGGCCAGTGGTGTCTTCACTGCGGAAGGAGATGGACTCGAGCTCATTGCCACGGCTGGTAAGGGCCCTCATGCAGCTGTCGCGGCTCTCAAAGCGCCCCTCCAGGAACTCAATGGACTTCCTGGCTCGCTCCTGCAGCTGGCGGGCGTAGCCCCCAGCACGGTGCTCCGTCTCCGAGCCCTTGGCTAGGCCGTCCAGCTCGTTGATCACTGTCACACACAAAGGGCACAGGGCAGTCAGCACAAGACAGGGGAGCTGCCTGCCGCTCACAATGGGGGCCCTGCGGCTGAGGCCTCAGGTGAGGAGCAAGCCTGTGTCAGCATGTGGGAAGAGGAGGAGAGTGGTGCTGCCCCCGCCCCACCCAGAGCCTGCCAGGCCAGGCCATGAGCAATCCAGCATCTCACTGTGATGCATGTACAGCACCTGGCACAGCAGGACTCTGCCCTCTGCGAGGTCCTAAGGTGCTACCATGGTGCACACAGTAATGAGACATCACAGAGTCAGAGAGAAGGGCTGCAAGGGACCTCCAACCCCCTGCCTGAGGCAGGATCAACCCTGTGCAGACCATCCTAGACAGGCGATAATCTAAACTCTACCTAAGACCGCGGTCAACTCCGACACTACACAGACAGCACCCAAACCTGCCACAGGGAAAGCAGGGAGACCACAGCAGCCAGCGTCCTGCTTCTATAAAAGGTTAAGATACACTCAAGAGTTCCTAGGTAGAGGCCATGCCCCACACCAAAAAGGAGGGCAAAACCCGACAGCCTGTACCCATCTGGCCATGGGTTCAAATTCCTTCTTGACTCTAAATACAGAGATCGGTCAGACCCTGAGTGGAGGGGCAAGACCCTCTAGCCAGAGACCTCTGGCTTTGCTCCAGGCAGAAGCACTGGCGCACCCCATCAAAACCCCAGCCTGGGCTATAGCAACCAGTGCTTCTGAATGAGACTAAAAAACACCCTGACACGTTGCTGCGGGGGGGGCAACCAGCAACGCCCAGAAGCCTGGGAAATTCCCATGGCAGAACACAGGCCTGGCTATGCCTAGATCATCCCTGACCAGTGCCTGTTCAGCCTCTTCTTGAGCACCTCCAGAGACGGCGAGTCCACAGCTTCCCTGGCATCTTTTCCACAGCCTCACCGTTCTAACAGTGAAGCAGCTTTCCCTGACACCCAGTCTAAACCACCTCTGCCACAACTTCTAGCCACTGGTCCATGCCCTCTATGCAGTGAGAGAGAAAAGGTGCTTTCCCTCTTCTTTATAGTGCCCTTCAGGTATTTGAAGACTGCTACATATCCCCTCTTAAATGCTTTTTCCAGAATCACAAGCTTCTTGCTTCAGCTAGAACTCACCAAGCTGCCCCGTTCCTACCCTGCCCCAGGCCTTGGCTGTGGGCAAGAGAAAGCGCCAGACTTTGGTGAGGGGCTGCAATGTCTCTTGGACTGGGCAGGCTGGGCCATCTAGCCCCATCTCCTAGTCCCAGTCTCCAAGGGCTGATTCCCGACCCCACAGGATGACTGACCGCTATAGCTATCCACCAAGCTTCTGCGCAGCAGCCTGCAGCTCTCCTGAGGCTACTGCCACCACTGCAGCTACTGGTCCTAGCCTCCGACTTGCTGTGGCTTGAGAGAAGGCCGTCCTTGCGCACTGCTCTCTGGGAAGGCCTGGCACATGAAGCGAGGTCTGCAGCAGGACTGGCTGGGGCAGGGAGGAGCAGCAACACGCACCCTCTGCACAGCTCTCCTTACTGAGGCAGGCTGCTCAGCACTCTCCCTGCCCTGCACCTCGCCGCGGCCGGGACAGCACGCTCCTCTCAGGCCCAAAGACGCGCCTGGCCCAGGATCAGGCTGACTCCCAGGCCTGCTTGCCGCACTGCTAGACTGGGGATTTGCTGCTCCCAAAAGTTGGGCTGGGGCCGCCACCACCTGCATGTGACACCCAGGAGAGCCCCACAGAGCACCTGTCCTCAAGGCACTTCCTGCTGCCATGAGGAGCAAGTGTGAGTGAGGTCTCTGTACAAAAGTGCTCACATGCATGTGCAACAGCCCACTTACACATGTGTGCCAGTGCGCCTGGGGCCTGTGTGAGAGTGAGTCCCTGTGCACAGCATGTGTTTGAGCTGTGGCTTGATTTCTGGAGATTCTTTCCAAGCTCCAAGCCAAGCCCTGAGTTCAAGTGGGAAATATGCATTCCTCAGGGGCTTGGGGAGAGAGCTCGGGGTCTGAGGCCTCTCCCCGGTGCTGTGAATCACTGAGCAGGGAGCCCGTGTGACCATTCAGTTCTGTGGCAAGCCTGGCACTGGCTGCCTGGGTACATGGGCGAAGCTGCATGGAGCTGCTCTGCTCCTCTGGCTCTGGCCCCAGCGCCCCGGTGCTGCCATGTGCGTACAATGCAGGGCTGCGATTCAGGGGGAGCGCTGCTAAGATGGAACATCAAACAGGAAAAGCTGGTATTCCCTCCCGAAATCAGCCTTCCTGCTTCCAAACCAAACAGGCTTCAAAGGGGAGGCTTGTTTGTGCTTCTGCACTAGGCCTGGCTTCTCCATGGCAGGGTCAGGCCCAAGGAGCATGGAGCAGGTTAAAGAGCAAGAGAAAGAAACCAAAGGGAAAGCTGCACGCTTAACCCCTTGCTGCCCCTCAGGAAGCAGCACACAGGAGGGGAGCCCTGGGCACTGGGCAGGGGGTCCGCAGGGGACACTCCCTGCCCAGCCCTGATGCTCGCAATAAGTTCGCAGGGGCAGAGAGTTCTGCTGCGGCTTCTGTGCTCTGGACTGAGGAGGGGAGGGCCCCCTCCCACGTGCTCTGGGCTTAGACTGGCTGCTGGTCTTGTGGCTTTGCTCAGCCTGAGTCAGGGCAGCACTGGCCAATTGCAGCCTCGTGGAGCTGGGAGCCGGTGCAGGGGGTCAGTGGCTCCTCTCATGGGGCAGGTGAAACAGCGTGGGTGAGCGAGCGTCCACTGAACTGCACCAGAGTAGCCAGGAAGCCAGGCTGCCCTGCAGGGTGCATGCCAAAATTCCCAGGGGGTGTGAATGGGGAGCTCACATCCCCCCTAGCTCAGCAACCTCCGCCGGGCTGACAGCCCCTCCCTGGTGTTCCCAAAGTGGAGAGGCCAAGCTGAAGCATCTACAGGGTTCCCAATCCGGGCAAGGGCCCCCCTTGCCACTCTTCTGGGTCTCCCCAGCCAGCAACCCTTGTCCGATTACTGAGTATGTGCGCCACCCCACCAGGGAGGAGCAGCACAGGCAGGAGGGCGCCGCAGCTTCAAGACAGCGCGAGGGCTCTGCAGCACCTCCTGGGGACAGCAGTTGCTGACTCTGACTCCCCTCCTGCCCTGTGCCCCAGCCTCCCAGGGACTTGGCCTGCTGAGCATGACCAGGGGAGAAGCCTGCCCTGCAGGGCCAATGGCACAGGGGTCAGGCTAGGCCCCTCCTGGCAGCCCATTTCTAAGCACGCTACACTAACAGTTCTCATGCTTGTCTCTGCCATGAGTTGGTGTCAAACAGTCCCACCCCCAGAGCATGTGCCCACACAGCAGCGCAGAAAACAACACCTGCTGCTCACACACCAGAAGAGCTGGGGCTCCAAGGGCCATGAAGGCAGCAGCACAGCCAGCCCACTCTGTGCTCTGGACCTGAGGCACCTCCCCTACTCCTGCTCCTGCTCCAGGATACCTCCTTTGTGTCTGAAAGGATAACTTGGGCTGCAGGCTGGCGCTGGCGGTTCAGTCCCTTTGGGCTCCAGCTACCCAGTCCCAGTGTGACAGCAGCCAGGGGAACGTTACCTCGAACTCAGTGCGTGGTTTGATGATCAGAGCAAAGGCATCTCAGCAAATCCTCCCGCCACCCCGGGAGACCACCCAGCAGCAAGGCTGTTATCTGCCAGGGCGAGTGTTTACCAATAACGGGAACCAGCTTGCTGCTTTGCTGCGAGCTTTATAAGGATAAAATAAAGGGCTGGGCCAGCGTAGTGTTAGGCGCTGGGACGCGGGCTGGCCATCGCTCTGTGTCTAAGCCCTGGCTCAGCGGGGATAAGCTCCCTGCTTCAACTGTTTAACAATTCCCCCACCCTGCTCCCTCCCAAATTCCCTCTAAATCCTGCTTAACACCCGCTTGCCTCCCACACCCAATGCCCCTGGCACCCCACATGCATCAAAGGGAGGGGAACAAGCGCACGCGGTGGGTGGGGACCAGGCAGTAAGGGAGATGAGTGACATGGACCAGAGGATGCCTGCATGAGACCCACTGCAGGGCAGCACCAGGGGAAAGGGCAGGTACCCCTAGAGCAGGGTCCTGGGGCCAGGAGGGCCCCCAGCACAAGCATCAGCACGGAGATGAGTTCATCTCCAAAGTGGCTGCTGGTGGGCCTGGCCCGAGGCTAGCCATGACAACCAGTGACAGTGGGGTCTGGATGGGCCCAGGCTGTGCCACAGCAGGATGTACCCGCAGCAGATCAGTGAGGCTCCTGCGGGAGCAGGGTCAGGGAGAATGCACCTGGCCTGACTCACCGATCAGGGGCACCACCAGGATGAACTTCCTGCACTCCAGCAGCCGCGCCAGGCTGCTCAGGTGGTCGATGAACCCGTTGGTGTCTGGCACCAGGAAGATGGGCCGGATCTCCAGCTCCATCTGTCTCATCTGACTCTGATCCTTCAGCACAGCCTGCAAGAGCCCACAGAGAAGAGGAGAGAGTTAGGAAAGAGTTGGGCCAGGCCCAGGGAACCCCTGACCAGAGCAGCCAGGAGACCCTGATGGGAACTCACAGCAAGCGGGACTCTGGGCCAGAAGCTGTTTGACCCTCCAGCAAAGCCCCATGGCACTGCAGGCATCAGGCATGCAGCTGCCGCCCCGGCAGGGTGTAAAGAACGCCCTCGTGCAGAGGCATACCGAGCACTGGGCAGCATCTGGGATACGGCCCTGTATCCTGGCATGCCAGTGTCCATACTAGAGGGGCTATGTGGCTGCAGCGGAGTTGTAGCAGGACTGCTGGTCTAGGGAAAGTGCACAAGCAGCTCGGATAGGCAGGGCCTTTGGGCCAGGGAAGCGGTGCCACAGGACAGCTCCGATAGCCAACGCCACTAGGCAGCTGCTGCTGTTACCCCTGCCTGCACATGTGGCCATGAGAGCACGGGGCTGCTGCTCCCACAGAGACCCATGAGGAAGTGCCTGGCTCTGCCAAGCTCCGATGACTGAGGGCCCCTCTGGCTGGGCAGCAAGCTGCTAGCAGCAGCCCCACTTGCCCTCGCAAATGGCAAAAAGGCTCAGCGACACGGCTCTCGCTCCCTGCCCAGGCCCAGGCCCCATGTCCCATTAGAGAGCAGCCCCAGTGAAGCCAGAATACAAGCTGCGCCCAAGACCCCTCAGGCGGCGGACAAGTTTGTGCTCCCAGGTCCACGTGCAAGGGCAATGCCCTGTGCGCGCGGCCCTGCGGGTATGGCCCCTGGAACGCGCCCCAGACCCCGCAGTCCCCTCGTGGGTGGCATCTGCCCTCCTGGCTCTCACAGCTCGTACCCGTCAGATTCCTGGCAGCTGCGAGCGACGCCTGTGCCGGTCGTCACGTCCCATTCCGCTCCCCGGGCCGCCCGGTGAGAGAAGGACACAGGATGCGCAGGGAGCGAAAGAGCGAGGTCGGCGGGGAGCGTGCCAAGTCCCCTCTCGCAGCTCCAGGACGCGCGGGGAGCCAGAGGGAAACTCGCCTCTGCAGAGTTCAGAGGCCGGCAGCGAGATTTATTTTTGTTTGTGCGAGTAAAAGGCTGCAGAAGCCTCTGGCCAAGGGGGTATGGGGGGAGGGGAGTGGCCTGTGATTCATGCAGCCTCTCGCTGGCCTTTCGCCAGAGACGAAAGAGAACGCGGGTGCGCAACTGGGAGCTGCGACCACATTAACTCTTCAGCCGGTGCCGCAGGGATGAGAGCCGCACCCTGTCGGGGGAAAGCAGCAGGCACTCGGACTCCTGGGTCCCACTCCCCGCTCCGGCCAGCCGGGCATGCAATCCTGAGAGATCACTTCCTGTCCCCATGGCTCAAGCATGGTAATGACCCGTCCCAGTCTCCTGGGAGCTGGGAAGCCGGCCACGTGCAAAGGCCCTGGAAATCACATGGGACGGGATGACATGAGAGCAGCACAGCTGTTTCTCCCAGGGACGGGCCGATGCCTGCGGGGAGCCAGGCTCTGGCCTGCGTTCCCGGAGCAAGGGGAACGAGCGAGTGCTCCACTGCAGCAGCAGAGAAGCCGGAAGCTCCCGTGTGCCGTGGGGAGCACACACAGGAGGGCTGCTGAGGCCAGGCAGCACAGGGAGTGCTCGGCTTCTTCTGGACTGGTGGTGGCTCCTTTGCGTGGTGACAGCTCTGAGCTCAGGTGCTTCTGACCATGTCCAAGTCCCAAATTTCTGCCCAAGTCCGCCAGACCCCTGAGGATGTCCCGCAGCAGTTGCCTGTCCTGCCACCATGTCCTGGCAAGAGGGCCGCATCATGGGGCTGCAGTTGCTCAGGGCTGTCCTTGGCCAGGGCCCTGTCGGACCCCACATACATACAGGAGCTCCTCTAGACACTCAGTGCCCTGCGGCAGGGAGGAGCCACCGGCCGGCTACCTGGAACTGAACGGCCATGGAGAGGCCCACGTCTTGCCTAGGGAGGAAGGGGTCCTGTAGACTGGGCTGGGGTGGCACCCAGCACTCTGCCCTTGCTGGGTCATGAACGCCAGTCCAGTTCTCCCTGCAGCCGGGCAGCCGTGGCGCCGCTGCCTGCTCCGGCTCCGTCTGCTCCAGGGGATAGGAGGCGGATTTTCCAGGGGGCCAAGAACAATGCCTCTTTCTAGACTCTGCTCGAGGGTTTCCTCGTTCCAAGGTTTGTCGGCAGCGTCTTCCCCAGGAGGAGACGTGCCCCGTGCCTGGTAGCGAGCCGGGCTGCCGCCGTGGCGGAGCCGCCGTGGGTGGGTGTGCGCCTTCCGCACCAGCAGGCACCCGCTCCCAGGCAGGTGCGTGCCGGCGCGCGCGCACCCGCCGCATTGTTCCTCCGTGGAAAGCGTGAATGGGCTGGGGCTATATTTAGCAGGTTAGTCACGCTCCCGCCACAAAGGAGTGGCTGCATCTTAAGGGGGCGGCTGTTCCGTGTGCTTGGAGGGGACAGGGGGAGGCTATTTTGGGAAGACATGTCATAATTGGCTGCCCAGTGAAGCCGCTTCTGTAATGCCGAGCAAAACAATAGCAGCATCCAGAGGAAGAGCCTGTTATGTTTCAGGTGGGATGTTTTCAACTGCTCAGGAAACCCGACCGCTCCCAGCGCACAGCAGCGGCACAAAGGACAGGGGACGCCGAACAGCATGGACCAAGGGCTCGGCCAAGGGAGGGGGCTGGGTACCAAGGGCCACAGTGGGTGCGTCGCAAGGGAGAACACGTCTGCCCGTGCCAGCCCAGCTCCCTCACCACTGGAGCCCTGGCGGGGACGTGACCCTTGCTCCCCCCAGCACACAGCAGCTCCCAGGTGTGTCTGTGACTCAACCTGCCCCAGCTCGGTAGCTGGCCCTAATGGTCTGGCCTGATGAGACATGGGAATGGGGCTCCCAGCTGGACTGGTGAACCGGCACTGGAGGATGCGGGGCAGGGGAGAGTGGGAATGCATGCACAGGTGCAGGTAGAGGTGGGCAGACTGAGCATGGCAGAAAGCCTCACTCCAGGGAGGACTTGTCTGAGGAGCCCGTCTCTTTTCCTGCCGCAGAGACGCAATGGAGAGGTCCCCTGGCAGGGACAAGCCAAGGGGCTACTCCTGCTCTCTCAGGGGAGCCAAGCTGAGCTCTGCAGGCCCAGGTGCCTCTCGCACCTTGAGCTGGACAAGTCACTGAGAGGAGACAGCAGGGCCACTGGCCTCCCAAGAGAAGACGAGTGCCATGGGGCAAGCCCCTGTCCCTACCAGGATGACAAACAGGCACTTGTCTCATAAGCCCCTCAGGGCAAATGGGACAGGTGCAACAGGTTCCTAAAATAAAGGACAGTGATTGCACAAAGGGCGCATGGGGCTGAAGACTCTGGATGCTGCCCAAGACGTTTCCAGGCCAAATGGGTGGCTTACATGCCAGTATTGCCATGCAGAACCAATCCAGTGGCAGAGCCTGAAACAGGGGCAGTGGCACACAGCAATGTAGCACAGGACAAGGCCATGTGTGAGCCAGGGGTTTGGGGCTGGCCCCCATTAGCAATGAGGGCGGAGAGCTGTGAATGGACTGGCAGCTCCAAGCAGGGGACTGAAGTGCAGCAGACTGAAGCGCAGCAGAGAGGACGCTGAGATCAGAAGCACGAGGGGCTCAGCAGGGAGAACGCAACTAAGCCAGTCGAGCGAGTGAAGCCACCCACCCGCAGCCCCTCCCAGGAAACGAGACCCAGAGGCAGCAAGGGCAGAGAGAGCCCGATGCGCAAGAGCAGACAGAGCAGCAGGGAGGGTCAGTGAAAGCTAAGCCAGAGAAGCCCAGCAGATGTGGGGCTGCTCACACAGTGGTGTCTCTATGGGGTGAGGACAGCCCCTCTCTGCAGGCCCCTGAGGTGAAGGAAGAAAGGATGGCCCAGCAGCGTGGGCAATGCGCTCAGCCCTAGATCTCTTCCTGCTGCCGCTGGCAGCCTGACCCTGGCAGTACCTTGGACCTCTGCTCCTATGCACAAGGGAACCGTTGGCCTGCCCTGCCGCAGAGGGAATGGGAGGGCAGGTGCAGCAAAGACCACGAGCATCTCCGGCACTGCAGTGCCAGTCCCTGTATCTCCCTGGGACCACGATGCAAGGAGCTGCTGCTTGTCTGTGGCACTGTGCAGAAGCATGGGCTCCTGCCCAGGTAGGGGAGGCACGCTCAGGACAGGCCAGTGCAGAGCGCAGAGATGCGGTGAGACCGCAAGGAAGAGTGCAGCACAGCATCAGGGGAGAGTCCCTATCAGCGAGCGCAGGGGCATCTCTCTGGGAAGACCCAGGAGCTCTGTGACCCCAGGCCCTGAGAACAGGCCAGGGAGAGGCTGGGGGAAGCTCAGCCCCATCCAGCGGCCCCTCCCCTGACTCAGGCTGTCTGGTCAGTGCCCGCATAGAGCAAGGGCTGGGGCCTGCACACGTGTTCTTCTCCAGTCTGTTCCCAGCCAGCTCTGGGCTGCATGACTTGACTCAGCCCCCAAGGACTGCTCCTCCACCCCTTGCAGTCAGGCTCCAAGTGCACCTCAGCCCTCAGCTGCGCAGCCCCCGGTGCTGCCCACACCCACATTCTGACCTCCATCCGGCTGAAAGCCCCAGCCCCAGCCCCAGCCCCAGCGCAGCTCCGGAAGAGGGGAGGGGTGCACTGGGGAGAGACCTGGGACACCTCCGGCAGCTCCTGACTGCTGTGGAAGGGGCAGCCTCAGTCCTGGGCGCCAGGGAAACTGTGCACAGACAGGGGAGCTGCAGCCTGGGGCTCTGCGATTGCTGCCCTCCCAAAAACATGTGCAGTTCCTGTTTGCCGGGTTTGTGCAGAGCACTGGGAAGTGGGGAATTTGCTTACACCTCTGGCTTAACAACCTGGGGAGGCTGGGAGGCTTCAGGCCGCTTGAATTTACAGCCCATCTCTCTGATCGCTAGCTTGCTCCCTGCCGCTTTCTTCCTTATTGTATTAATGCGACCCAGGTACCTGCCAACACTAATAGCCTGGTGTGCAGGGCAGCCCCTCCCTCCCTCTTGCTCACTTCTACCTTTGCCTCAATATGTATTTTTTAAAATTGAAGGAAAAAAAAGGGGGGTGGGAAATGCAAGGAGGTTGGGGTGGGTTTGGAAGGCGAAGCGCAGTGGTTCTGGGCCCTGCGCCAATAGCTGGAGGGTACACATGTGTGCTCTCCCAGTAGGGCCTTCCGCGGCCCTGTTTTACAACCACCTCGGCACAGACGGCAGAGTTCACGCATATGGCCAGACAGATGTGTCTGGCTTGCGTTCAAGGCTGGAAAATGAAGAATTATGGAAGTGAAGGGCCCTGGGCATTAGAGAGGGCGGAGGTGAGGGGGAGGGGGAGCCGGGGAGAATTCTCCTCTGCTGAGAAATCCTCATCTGCGCTGCAAGGCTGGAGGAAGAGGGGCCGAGAGAAACCAAAGCAGCCAAGAGCCATGTATGTGGGCTTGCTCTTAAAGGGCCAGTGCTCATGCCGCCGGGCCCCCACTCCCAGCTGGGCCAGTTGACCTCCCAGCTTCCAGCTGGGGCAGGCTCAGAGGGCCACCGTTGGACAGCCTGTGTTGATCAGGTCCGCCCATGTGCCCACAGCGAGGGCAACAGGGGGCTGGTGCTGCAGCTGACGGCAGCAGCGCTGCTCATGGGAGCTCTGCAGTATGCTGTCAAGTCCCCGCAGAGAACAGGAAGGTTCCCCATGGCGAGGCAGGGCCCCACGACTGAAGGGATCCCTATCACTCCTGACCCACACAACACAGGTGTGGGTGTGCACCTCTCCATGGAGGACAGCAGTGTGGAGACAGCTTCAGCCAGCTCTGGACTGCTCCAAGTTTCCGCCAGTTCTGCCCCAACCATGGCCTGGCCCCACTGAAACCCAAGGGGGAGCTCTGCTGATGCCTGGTGACCAGGAAGGCAGGCCCAGGCTAGAGAGCCACGTGCTTGGCCCCCCAGGTGTACGGGGCAACTGGCTCACCCTGCCCAGACACCCTGACATGCTGCTCCTGTCCTACCTGGATCTTGTCCTGCCGACGCTGCTGCTCAGCTACTTTCCGCACTAGCACTTGCTTCTTAGCTCGGAGCTCCTTGATGTCAAGCTCTCCCCCACTTCCTTCAGCCTCGGAGTCATCCTCAAACGCCTCAACCCTCACGTCGTCCTCCTTGACGCACAGAACCCAGACGGACAGAAACAGAACAGAACAGGTGAGAGCTGGAGGGCAGCAGGTGACTGAACACCCTCTCCTGGATGGCCCACCCCCAGCAGAGAAGACCGTGCTGGGTACATTTGCCCACTGCTAGTCGCTCACATGATGGGGGACATTTGGGTCTAGTCACTACAGAAAAGGCAAGGGAAACCCTAAACTCTGCTGTCAGCCAGGCAAGTGGGGCCTTGCGGCCAGGGAATCCAGATCTGATGCTGGTGAGCACTACTCAGGGACTCTGGACATACGGGAGAGGCTCCTGGCCTGGCTGGACCTTGGGCCAGTCACCTGCCTGGGCTCCTGTCGGCCTGTAGGACAGAGGACGACATTTCATCTCCCACCCTCAGAGCTGCCTGGTCTGTCAACTCAAGGTAGAAGCTCCTCGAAGCTAGATGCTGCTGCAGCACTGCTAAGAAGCCCTGATACAGGCCGGCACTGTCTTCTGCCCTTACTGATGGAACCAGACCCAGGGATGTTAAGGACAGAGGGAATGTGAGGCTCTGGTCTGCCTTTCTGCCTGGCACACACCAGGGAATGTCACCCAGAGACTCCTGCCTCAGCTCGTCCCTCCCAGCCCAGCTGGATCGGGTCCATCGCAAAAGGACGCTCCATCTGGATTTAAGATGCTGGGCGAGGCAGGACTTGCCAGACCCTGGGCAGGAGGTTTCACAGGTCTCGTACATGCCCTGTCAAAAACGTGCACGCAGGGCTCTGGCCTCACCTCGCCATGCCCTGGCTTGTGCCCCAGGTCATGCTTGCCCTCTGAGCTGCCCCCTCTGCTCCTGGTGGTACAACCCTGTGCTTGGCTGGGAACATGCACAGCTCTCACTGGGTAATCCACAGCAAGCTCTCCCACGGGCCTGTGACTGCCCCGAGCTGTGTGCCCCCTGCCAATGGCTCTACTTGCCCTCCCAGACCATGGCCAAAGTGTAGGAACAATGACAGGTGCCTGTGGGTCCACGCCAGACACTGCCCACAACGGGCCCTGTTGGAGTTCCCAGCCAGGGTACACGTGGCCTGCACAGGGCTGAGCCGAATGAATCACAAGGAAACACTCTCAGTTAGTAGATCAGCTCCTTCCCACTCATAGCCAGCCTCAACTCCAGGCTCAGGGTTTGTCAGCACTGGGTCTGGCACCACAGACAGACGCTCCACAAATCAGGATGGCCAGTGAGGAGCCCAGGAGCCCCCCAGCCTGGATTAGCTCTCACAGAGCCGGGGACTGTGCACACAGGCTGCTCTCTCACTCATCCTGTGGCGGGGGAAGACAGCCCTCGGCCTCACCTCCACCCTCCAGGATGGGCAAGCCCACAGGAAGCAAGGAGCAGCGTGGAGGGCAGGCACATCCATGGGAGCCCAAGTGGGTGCAGTGCAGATGTAGGTCGGCAGCGCAGTTGGGTTGGATTACGCCTGCCTAGGGTCAAGGGATGGTCACGCCAGCCTGAGAAGCTAAGCTCTGCAGGGACTCGAATGAGGAAGCCTGGGTTTTGTAATGAGCTCACGGAGGTTCCCATAGCTGAGAAAGCCCGGAAACCTCATGCCTTAGCCTGCCACTGCTGAACGGCTGAGGGAACCAGCAGTAGCGGTGGCTCCACTAAGGGGGCCAAGGGATCCAGGGTCTGAGCACTAGGGGAAGGCAGTGAGGGTGTTCTCAGGTCTGAGACCCTGAATTGGGCCCCAAGACCCCAGCCTCTCTGTCCTCAAATGCCCCACGTACAGGGCAGGGGAATCCAGGCTTGTCCGCCACCAAGGCCAGCCACAGTGCTCTGGGGATCCCTGCAGCATCCCTGCCCCCATCCCCGGTTTTCCAGCACTTCACCTGCTGCAGACACTGCAGGGATGAAAGGGCCTGGATCATGCTGTGGCTGGTGCCCAGACCCCAGCTCCCCTGGGGACAAGTTGGCCAAAGGCCAGGGCACATAAACCCCCCAGCACCTCACGGGTGGGAAGCCACGTCCTTGGCAGGGCTCTGCCCTCTTCTACCCTCCCTCCACATCCTTCCAGTCGGATGTGTAGTGAGCCTGGGCAGTGCTTGGGCCACCCAGCTCCCAGCTCCGAATGCCTCTGCCCTCCTCTACTGTTTCCCTGGCCTTTCAAAAGGGAAGATTAAACACCAGGAAAGAGTCAACCTGCAGAGCGGCTGGCAGAGCCGTTAAACACACACACTGAGCCTGGAGTGAAACAAGGGCTACAGGAACAAGCAAGGGCAGAAAAACAAGAGGAGAATTCCTTAATCACATCAGGATGTGAGAGGCAGGGGAGGGCCGGGGCGCCAATGTCAGCTCTTCCTGTACGTGTGCTGGAGGCTGGAGTTCAGGCCTGTGCCGCGCTGAGCTCCATGGCTATAAACTGAACCCTGACACCCCCTCGCCGCCCCCTCTCCCTGGACTCCAGAGCTGTGCGTTATTAAAGGCCCCCCCTCCCCGACAACCATTAAAAGCAGCATCTGGAACTCATAACAATGCACAAGATAGAGGCACCCAGGTCAGACTGGCAGGAAGGGGCATGAGCAAAGTATACTTGGGAGACAAGGGCTGTACACTATTATCCCCCAACGCCCAAGGCACACACAGCTACACCGGCTATAAATAGCGGGAGCTGCAGGGCAGGCCGGGGCTGGGCCCCACAGGGGTGATTCTTCCTCCTCCGCGGCACACTCTTCCCGCACGGTACCTGATCTTCCAGTTGTTTTCCCTCTTGGCTTCCCATTTCCTTTCCCATGGCGTCTGGGACGGGTGCCACTGACACATATTTTCCACCCTTGAATGCCAGCAAAGGCTCTTCTTGTCCACAAAGGGCTTCCAGGAAATACTTCAGAACTGTGACCCTCTTGCAGTCGGCTGCAATAACCTACAGGGTGCGGACAGGGGGTCGGGGGGAGAGAAAGGAAAACAGTCAGCGCAAAGGGAAGGCAGCGGGCACTGGCCAAAGCGAGATGCCCTGAGTCACAGGGCCCAGCGAGCCTCGGGACACTGGGGAGGGCGTCCTCAGGCCCTTTTGGCTCAGGACTGAAGCAAACTGTTGGGGCCTGGAGTCCCACTTCTAGCCACAGCCAAAGAGGAGGGTGAAAAGGGTGAGTCTGAGGTCCCCCAGCCATCCCAGTGCCCTCCACACCTCAGGGAGACTGGCCCATGCCCTGCAGCCCTCTCGCCCCCGACCTCACCCGAGGACAGGAGGCGGGCGCGGGCCCTGGAGCCTCCATCCCGCTTCGCGGCGCTGCGGAGAGGGCGCCCCCCCGCTGCCCCCACCCCTCCCAGGCCCGCAGAGGCGGAACTCCCAGCCTGAGCGCTGGAAATCCTGCTCGAGTGCGAGATGAATGATGAGGACTGTCCTGGCTGTTTCATTTCAGCTAAATCAACAGAGCCCCCTTGACAGCCTCCACGATGGGAGCGGGAGGGCTCGGAGAGCAGGGGTCAGGCAGGCGGATGCTGGGGGAAGGATACAGGTGCGCAGAGCCAGCAGGTGGGGGCATTGTACAAAAGCCGTGCGCCTCGCGGGCCCCAGGCCTGCCCCGTCCCCTGGGCTCAACGCACACAGCAGCGGGGGAGCCTGTCAGGGAAGCTAGGACAGATCTCGCCAGAGTGAAATTCAATAGCGCTGGTAATTATCAGATTCAGGAGACTCTCCAATGGAGTTTCCAGAGCTGTGGAGCCTGGAACTCATCCCCATGTGCCTGCAACACCCCCAACCAGGCCCTCGGCCTGCCTCCCTCCAGCCAGCCCCCTTAGCGGCGGACACCACTCTCGGAAAGCGCAACCTTTCCCTAAGGACAGGCCGTGGCACCACGGTGGGGCAGCTGCTTCCCGGTGCCCCTAGCCCTGACCTCTGTGGGCCTGTTACACGGGCACCAGAGCTGCGCTGGTTCACTCTGCTTGGTGCATGCAGGAAGCAGTGCCTGGGCTCTGCCATCCAGGCTGAAGGCCCCCAACCTGCCACCCGCTGACTCCCAAACCAGGGCGCACCCCAGCCTGGCCTCAGCGGGAGCAGGGAACTAGGGGGCAGGGATGGCCACGTGTGGGTTGCCTGAGGGAGGTCCAGCATACAGCAAAGCAAAGAGGGCTGGGAGAGAGAGACCCAGGCCATGAGGAGAGCACGGGGCAGAGCGGGAAAGGGAGGCACAGCCCCGCGGCCGCCGGACGCGTTGGGCAGGTCCGGTGCAGCAGGGTGCAGGCAGGCTGGGCCCGGCAGGGCTCAGCGGCACGCAAGGCCGAGCCGCAGTGACTCACGGGCTGGCAGGCAGCACGCGGCACGTCCCCTGCCGCACCAGGCTGCTGTGCAGAGGAAACTTCTGCTCTTCCACAATGCTGCCAGCTTCCTCTCTGCGGGCTAATTTTAACCACCCCCTTGTTACAGTGCGTGTCAACCACCTGACCTTGCTGCAACCCCTGACCTGCTGCCCCAGCTACTGCGGGGAGCCGGGATCCTTATGTAACAGAAGCAGGTCTTTCCTCCCTGCCTGCAGCCACCCCAGGATCAAAGGGTCCAACACCTGGGCTTGGCCCCCGCATGGAGGCTGCTCCTACTGGGATCACTGCGGGCACCTGCATCACCTGCCCAGCTCCAGACCCCGAGGCTGCATCCGGCTGCACCCTGCAGACAGCTCAGTGCTGCCTGGAGTACCGGGGCCTCTGAGCACATGCCAAGACGCTTGTCCCCAGCCAACTCAGGCCCCTGAGGCTGAGAAAGGGCTGGGGAGCAAACCAGAGGGCCAAGGGTTTAGCAGCAACTGCCCAGCCTGCAAGGGGCTCGTCAGCGAGCACTGGTGCACACAAAGAGGCCCTGGAGCTGGGCTGTGAGGGGAACGGGAATGTCTCCCCTGCTCCCCTCTGGGAAGAAAAGCTGAGCAGAGAACAAACGACTTCCTGCCAAGCTGCCACAGGCTGCGGGTGGGTCGTCAGCTCATCTGCTGGGGAGAAGAGAGCCCAGCTGAAGGCCTGTGACATAATCCCCGCAGCAGCTTGTCTCATGAACACATTTTTCCAGGCGGCATCAATGAAAAACAGACAAAGTGAAAGATCTCGGTATCGCAATCATGTGGACAGCCTGCACAACCAGCCCCGCTCACCAGCAGCCTGGGGCACCTGGAAAGCTGGGCTGTGCTGCAGCTCAGCGGCCCAGGATCTCTGACAGGTTCCCCAAGTGTCTGGCATTGAAACGTTCCCTGTTTCAAGGTGAAACCATTAGTGCTCGGATGCCAAGAGAGCTCCAGGTTGCAAGGCTACAGCCCCGAGGGGCAGCTGGAAGCCCCGGGTGGCTCTTCATGTAGGATGTGCTGGAGGAGCAAGGCAGCGGAGGAGCAGAGTGGCTGGGGCCTGGGAGCGACACATGACACTACAGAAGGGACCAAAAGGTCAAGCGTGAAGCCAAGCAGCATCACTGTGCTGTGCAGCGCGGCGGCAGACGTGCAGCCCCGGGAGGGGACGCAGCAGCGCTAGGCGCCCTGCCTCAACAGCCCGCGGTGAGGCAGCAGGAACTGAAAGCCCTGGCTTCCAGCACTCGCTCACTACGAAAATAGGCCTGACACGCACACAGCCGCTTGAGAAGGAAAACTGAAACCACACTTTGGTGAAGTGGTCTGGTGCCCCCATATGTGACCTGGGCTCAGTTCCGCAGAGACGCAGGTGACGCAGGGATCACAGCACCCCGCGCTACCACCGCAGCTCCGGGGCACGCAAGGAAAAGACTGCCATGGATCGCAGGCGGCCCAGGGTACTGGGGCAGCAGTTACATGAGTCATTTTGTGATTTCGGTGGGGGGGGAGGCGGGGCGGAGCCAGGCCGAGGAACGGGAAGACTCTGTAATCTCACACTAAGTCAGAGGCGCTGAACATCCACAAAGACATGAGCTACTCAAACGCTGGCTCTCTCCAGCACACAGCAAGTCAGCTCCACACCACTCACACTAATTCACGCTAATTCATGGTTCGGACAACCACGTTGCAGTCGGCTGCTAAGATGCAGCAGGACATGCGGTAACACGACCCCATGGCCACACTCTTCCATTTCAAATGCCTTTCACCTTCCAGCAACCCTGCCGAGAGGCAGCACTGGGCAGGCAGAGCACAGCACAGCTCAGGGAACAGAGCTCCCTGGGCCCTCTGTACCCTTTGCTTCAGTTGCCCCCATGGAGGGGCATGGGAATGAGGTGCAATGGAAACACAACACGCATGGTACATCAGCTCTGCACGGGGAACCCCTCCCGAGCGCAGCCAGCCCAGGTGCTACGCCTGGGGGACACGAGCAGCTGGCGCTCCTGGGGTGGTGTCACCAGAACCAGACTGCTCTGGTGAGCCCGATGCTCCTGGCCGAGGGGCAGCCTCGACATGCAGCTCGGCCTCAGTGGGGCTGACCCACCCTGCAGACGCCTCTGCACATGCTGCTGAGCGCGGGACATTGCTTTGGCGCTGCTAATTGCTGCCACGCCCACGATGGCTTCAATCAGCTTTTACAACTTGTTAATTTTACAGTGTCTGAAGAGCAAATAACTGGGAGGCAGGAATGCAACGTCTGCGTCAGCTCTTCCACATGCTCCATACAGCCTGCCCGAGGCCGGACAGTTGGCCCCGCCAAGCCCAGCTAGCTACGGAGGACCCAGCAGCCCCAGAGCAGGGGCCAGGAGAGCTCGGGCTAGTGAGGGTGTCCCCCGGCTATTAGTTTCCAGGTACATGGAAACCGCCATGAAGTCGCTGGCCTGAGCTTTTGTGCAGAAGGATCCTGGCAGCCTCTGTCAAAGGAAGCTCAGACCCCCTTCAACCCAGGAGGAAGCAGGGTGCCCTTGGAAAAGGACTTGCTGCAGGAAGGGCGGCTCCCCTCAATGTAACATTCCCGCAGGCAAGGGAGACGCCGGCATCCCGATAGAGAAGGGGAAATGGGCACAAGGAGCCTGAGTTGTACCATGGAAGAACAGCCCAGCCTAGACCAGGAGACGGCAATGAGAAGCTGGACCATGGTCAATCGCTGGCCCAGACACACAGTGCTAACTGTCTTCACGATGTTTTAATCATGGCTTGTGCAGCTGGAGTGGATGGAGCTCCCCCAGGTCAGAGCACGTTAGCCTACATCTGCTTTAAGCCACAACAAATCATTGGGGCAAAGCAAACATCAACCCATCAATGGTGCTTCACAGCCTGGGAAAAAACTCTCCCTTGCGCTGTACAGCAACCAATGGTGGCAGCAGGACTCTGCCAGGACTGCCACACAATCACAGACAAGCCAGGCTGGCAGAGCCCTCAGGAGGTCCCATCCAGTCCAGCCCCCACGCTCAAGACAGGATCAGTCCCTTCTGGGATGGTTTGGACAAGTGTTGGTGTCACCTATCAGAACTGCACAAACGGCCCCCCTCGCACAACTGCCAAGCCCCATACCACAAACACCAAGCCCCCTAACCCACCACAGGTCATGGGGGATGAGGGTACTTGCAAAGTCCAGAAGCAGCTGTGGTAGGTCCATGTGGCACTTGGCCTGGGCTAGTCCACCTAGGTGTGGTTAGACTGCTTCCAGCACCCCCGCTAGCCTGGGTGTCCGAGCTGCCCTGCCCCACGCAGCGCAGATGTGTCTGTGCTTGCATGCATACTGCACTATGTTGACACAAGCGTGGGAAGTTTCTGGATGCTGCCCTAACACCGGTGCAACCACACTGGTGACAGCACTAGCATCTCACATGTGAGAAGCAGCCGCTAGTGTCAGGGGAGGCCCAGGCAGCGGCCCTGGCCCAGCTTCCCCCCAAACTTCTGCTGGGCCAGCCAGCTTCCCTGCGTTGTTCCCCATCAGAGCACACATGCCCCAGGCGAGCCTGTCAGCAGAACAGTGTTTTAAGCCTGGCGGACACTTCCATCTTTCCAGTCCCAGACA